GGAGCGTGACGGGGAGCGAGAAGAGAGAGAGAGAGAGAGAGAATAGTACCTCCAACAAGGTTTTAATGCTACAATCTACGTCCAGCTTTGGCCAGCCTGGATCGGGGCACATCTGTGCCCAGCATATTCGGGGAGGTCATGGGAGAACTGGTAACCTCCCTATGGGGTCTGCCTTGCAGAGCATCACATTTCAAGGTTGAGCTGCCATCTGCCCCTCCCCCCAAATCTCTGTACCCTATTAGGCAGAGTTAGGTCTGGGACCCAGAGCTCCAGAAGTAGAGCCCTGAGTGCTTTCTGCTCTGGGGTTGTGGGCACACAGGTGCACACTCTTCACTGTCATCACAGACATGCTACAGAGTACTGCAGCTATGAAGACCAGTTTAAGAGAACCACAGTAAGAGGAAACCTTCGAAAACTTAAACATTAAGCCTTATGAAGAAATGTTACTGCATGTCCTATGGTAAGTAAGTGACATACCTGCCCCAGGCTGCCTCGTTTGTAGATGCTCTGTTAACTGGAATACAGGAGGAGTCGATGACAGTTGATTTGTTCATCTTATAGCAGAATCCGCAGTCTGGATCCAACATACATTCATTACAGTAACTGAAAAATGAAGAGAGTTATGGTCATGTCAGCAGAGACACCTAGTGCTCACCACCTATGTGATTCCATGTGCATTTTCCACTCTATTTTGCAGTCAGCTTGGGACCCTGGGACTAGCTGGCTTCTTCCATCTCTCTCGGTTATAACAACTGGGAAGACACTTTGAGATGGCAAAGGTTTGGATCTGAGAGACTGACAGAAGAAAGTCCAGATGATCCAGAGAAAATAAATTTTCGCTTTCCTAAACCACTGAGATTTGTTACAAAACTGCAAACTGGAACATCTTGATTTAGCCCTATTGGGATTTAAACCACAGCCAGCTATGTGAGACTCCAGCGCCTCAACCACCATGCCACTTACCAGCTCAATCCAGCCCTGTTTGTTCCAAATTGTGCGAAAACATTTAGTTCACTTGTCTCCTTTATGTACCATCTATTTTAAGAATTGAAAATAGTTTTTCTAATATCTGCCTTGAAATAAAAAATCCAAACGACAAAAAAAAAAATTACATATAAGGAAAAAGTTAAGGGATCAGCAGATGGAATAATGGTTCCATTGCTGGACTCCCACATGCTCAACTGTGATTCGAGTCCTGGACCTGGCATTTTAAAACTCATGCTGGGTATGTGTGTGCATGCCCCAAATCCCAAGAGGAGAACAGAGGAGAAGAGACTGTAACGTGGCCATCCCCTCTACGGGGTGATTTCTTGCTTTCTCTCTGTCTCTCTAGTAAGTACACATGTCCTATAGCAAATATCTCCTTAAAAAAGATTAAACAAAAATGCCACCACTCAAATATAGCTGTTATTAAGAATAAATATCTGTACTTTGAGCAAATATATATTGGGTACTACTGGGTTGTCAGAAAAGTCATGACGTATGTTTTGTATGCACAAATGCATCCAGACTTTTCCAGTGGTGTGATGTGTATTATTCTAAATTTAAAAGAATTTAAGAAAACAGGCTATTCTTTAAGTTAATCACATCCACTGGCTGACTCATAGAGCCATAATCAGTTAATCACTGTTTCCCTTATGGCTGTATCTTAACTACAGGAAAACTCTAAAGGAAAACCTCTAGAGGGCAAGGGTTTACCCACCTAAGTCTACAACCCGCTTACAGAATGAGTTTTCTACTGCCACATGGTCATTTGCCAGATAGATCCAGAGCACTTCATACATGGCAGGTGTATACAAGGCATACATTGAGTACTAAGGATGAGGACGTCAAAGTCCCTGCTCCTCACTGGATAATAGGTAAGAATGACAAACACGTGCAAGGTCATGACGGCAATATAAAAGAAAGCAGGTATGAGTGACCGAAAGGACAGACCTGTCCCTCTTGCTTTTAAGAGCCGGGAATAATTTCAGAGGTAACACTTTTTCCTTTCTTCCCTTTTTTTGTTCCTTTAATTTCCAGAGGGTACGTGAACTCACTAGAGAGAAACAGAGAGAGAAAGCACCCCTCACTGGGATGTTGTCATGCCATAATCCCCTCTCCTCTATTTTCCCATCCTGCTGGGATTGGGTGCATGCACACGTGCATGCTGGCATGTTTTTCAAGCAGCCAAGACTGGAACAACCAAGGTTCGCCAAGAGGGATCCAATAACCCTAGAGGCGATGTCTGTACTAAATCATTAAAGAAATGTATGAAGCAAAGAGATTAGAAAAGAAGACATTCACGAGTATTATTTCTTATTAAAGATCAATCAGCACAGACTTGTTAAATATCTATTGTGTACAAGTAATTATCCTGTCAAGTATGAGAAGAGAAACAGATGATCATCTATAAAAGACATTTAAAAGCTGTGCAAGTCACCAGAAAAAGAGATGAGGGACAATTATTTCTGAATCCTCAAAATCAAAATACCTTTTTGGTTCATTTAACTAAATGTGAAAATAATGATATTATTTAAAAAATCAGATTACAGCCTCTTCCCATAAACTTTTCTTTTGGCAAGCAGTCATCCTTATTTTTGAATGACATATCAGCCCTAGACAGAATAGCAAAGACAGGCCTTTTAAAACCTAATGAAGGGTCAATATACTTCAGAGAGGTGAGTCAGCAAAGTGAATATAAAACTGTCTACACTGATGATAAGCACAGAAAATGAAACTAAAGACTTTGGAAGTATTGGGTCATCAGAAAAGTTATGATGCATTTTGGCATAGAAAAATACATCATGACTTTTCCAATGACCAAGCTATATCCTAGGCTTCTGGTTTTGATAACCAGACTAGGCTAATTTGGAAAGAAAGATGTATTTGTTTTGTATATTCAGCCCAAATGAGATATATTCAGCCCATATGAGATCAACTCTAATAGCCCTAATTATTCAAATGGCTTTGGGTGACACTAATTTAACTCATGTATTCATATAGGAATGGCCCTCTATGTCTCTAAAAATACATAATTCTTATAAAAGTCCCAAAAGCATAAAGATAAAGGCTAATAACCACTGAGACCTTCATGTATGTGTTATGTATATGAGATGTTATCCATCACGAACACCAACTCTAAGCATTCAAATCTGACCACAACTTCCCATTTTTACAGCTTGCTTATGAAACGATCACTCCATGACCTACTATGCAGCAGGTATTATTCTAGGTGCTGGGACAGTCAGTGAACCAAAGATTCTCTGTCCCTGTGGATCTCGGATAGGAGATCTCCTGCTGCTAGTTAACTGACCCCCCTCAACTTGTTCTCTGCTCAATTTTTTCATTTTTTAGCTTCTTCCTTATCCAGCTTATTGACCATGGCCCATCATTTTAAAACCCTCAACCTCCCTAACTCTTCTGTCACTCTACCCACTTGTCTGGCAAAATCTCAGCCCTATATAAAATGCAAATATTTGCCTTCATCCTTACAGCCAAATGTGGCTGAAGGAATCACACTACAGAGTCCACCTGTATGTAGGTCTTGGGTAATGCATGATCACCAGTCTCAAATGGACTCTCAGTAAGCCTCACCTTTGTAGTGGTTTTCTCTGGCTAACTGTACATGGAAACATTTGTACCACCCTACATGAAAACTATCTTTTCTGCACTTTTTTTTTCAATCTCCCATGCTCCAGTTTCCTGTACTCCCTGCAAATTACTTCAACTCCAGCTTTATAGTGAAAGTAGAAGGAGCAGTGAGAACCTGTTGAGTAGGTTAATGTTTCACATTTTGTGAATTTCCCAAATTTCCTTCTATTAGTACTTTCTAATTTCACTTTATTGTGACTGAAGAATGTACTTTGTATGATTTCAGTCCTTTTAAATTTATTGAGGTTTATCTTATGATCTAGTATATGGTCTACCCTGGAGAATGTTGGACATGTAGGGAATGAGTCTTTTGTTTTAATTGGGTGGAATGTCCCACAGATGACTTAGGTCTATACAGTTTCAATCAATAAACATTTTTAAAAAAAATTTTTAGAGGGTATGTACACTCACTGGAGAGAAACAGAGATAGAGACAGACAGAGATAAAGTACCCTTCATGGGACTTGGTCATGCTATAATCTCTCTCCTCCACTTCTCCTGACTTTGGATTTTAGGCATGCATGCACACAGGCATGCACACATACTTACTATGCTATTCAAGTTGCTAGTCTGGGACTTAAACCATGTACTTGGCCATTTGGGATCCAGCTGCCCAGTTGCCAGGTCATGGATTGGCCCCATTAATGTTTTCTTTCTTTCTTTCTTTCTTTCTTTCTTTCTTTCTTTCTTTCTTTCTTTCTTTCTTTCTTTCTTTCTTTTTTTTTTTTTTTAAAAAAAAAGAGAGTGTTTTGCTATAGGGCATGTATGCTCACCAGACAGAGAGACAGAAAGAGAGAAATAACCCCCTAGGACTGGTGGCCACACCACAATCCCTTCTCCTCCAGACTCCTCTCGGGATTTTGTGAACGCATGCACATGTACCCAGCGTGAGTTTTAAGCCACCATGTCCAGGACTTGAACTGTAGTCAACTATGTGGAAGCCCAGCGAGTCTGCTATGATGCCTAATGGCCCTTTTCAAAATTCTTTTTAAGTTAACTAATTTTATTAATGATAGAACACATGGACAAGGAAGAGAGAGGAAGGCACCCCCATAATTCCTTTTCCCCAACCTTCCAGCTCATCAGAAGCTTGGGCACGCAGGCACCTACCTGACAAACCCACAGCAGGCCACATCCTTCCAGCACTGCATTGTTTCCTACCAACTGTGCCAACAGGTTGGACCAAGATACCGATCTTTTTAAAATTTTGACCATTATAAAGCAAAAATTATGTAACTTTTTTTTTCAACAGAAAACTTTACATTCTTTTGTCTGTTAAATGTTTCTTCCTTTTGCTCTCACACCTACCCTCTACCACACACTCTCTACCACCATCCTCCTCCCTTATAGTCTGTTATCTACACTTAACTTCTCTATCGAACCTTTGTATTGTTTGAAGTCTGGTTCACTTTGCTTTGCACTGAGTTTCCTATATTCTTCCACTTTGAATCAAATGATAGGATCCCATTGTTTCTTATGGCTGAGTACAATGTTCCATAGTATATAAGTGCCACAGTTTTTCAACCCAGTCATCAATTTTTGGACACACAGGTTGATTCCATGTCTTCGTGATTGTGAATACTACTGCAATAAACATGGATGTGCAAGTGTCTTTCCGACTAAGTTTTTTCCTATCTTTTGGGTAAATATCGAGGAGTGGGATTACTGGATCACATGGTAGTTTGTTTTTGAGTACCCTCCATATTTTTTCCCACAGAGGTTGTACTAATGTATTATACATTCCTACAACAGTGTAAGAGGGTTCTCTTTTCACCTTAGCCTTGCCAGCACTTAACATTCTTTATTTTTTTGATCCTAGCCATTCTAACTGGGGTTAAATAGTATCTGATTGTAGTTTTAACTTCCATTTCCTTTATGACAAGAAACTTCGAACATTTTTTCATACACCTTTTAGCCATTTTAAGTGTTCCTTGGAGCACTGTCTGTTCAGTGCATTTGCCCAATTTTTAA